AGTTTGGCAGGGTACATCAATCTTGGTTGGAAGCTGTTCTGTCTCAGGACCTGTAATGTTTCACTCCAAGGTCTTCTTGATTGGATGGTTTGTGCAGAAAACTCTGCCGTGATTCTGATGGGCTTTCCTTTATAGGTAACCTGTTTCTTTTCTCTAGCAGCTTTTAATATTCTGTTCTTTTGCCGGAGATCTGGGAACTTGACTATTGTATGTCTGGGTGTAATTTTATTTTGGATGTGGTATGTTGGGAGTTCTATATGCCTCATTTCCCTGTAGATTATTTTCTGTTTCCATGCTTGGGAAATTTTCTGCTATTATTTCTGCAAATATGTCAGTGTACATCAGTTGTGTTGCCTCCGGCTGTTTCATTGACTCCTGTAAGTTGTACATTATTCCTCTTTGTCTCATCTTGCAGCTCTTGAATTGACTTTTCTTGGATCCTTGTTGATTTTACGAGATCCTTTCTTTCACGTTTGCTAGCTGCCATGCTGTCTTCAAAGTTTGAGATTCTGTCTTCAGCTTCATTCAAGCAGTTTTGGTAGCTTTCAGTGGCAGCTTTGTTTTCCTGGAAATCTCTTTGAATCTGGTTCATGCGTTCTAAGTCCTTTCTATATTTTCATTGAAAGCTTCTGAGCCTTGCCTTTGTTATTCTATTTTCTTATATGTTTCTTTTTCAGACTTTTGAGCAGTTCCTTCTTTATTACTGTCATTTCACTTTTTGCCTGAGAGATAATTTCTGAGCTCATCTCTTCTATGGCTTTATGGAATTGTTTCTTTACTTCCATTGCAATCATTTCAGCTATTTCAAGCATGCATTTACCAATTTCTCCAATGTCAATGTCTCCTGGACTTGTTCTGAGTGGGGTGGAGTTCTGGGATTGTGTTTTAGTCCTTCATTTTGACATGTTTGCTACCAGATGCAGAAAGCTCAGTTTCCCTCTTCAGTGGCTGCACAGCAAAGTCCGCTAGTGTCCCTAGTTTTCCTGTTGGTCAGGTTTGCCCCTCACTGACCCCTGAGAAGCTCTACTTAGTCTCGGGTTTTCTGGCAGTTGTTGTTTTGTATCTAGTTATCCCCAGTGTCAGATGCGGGGGCATTGGTGTCAGCTGCTGGCAGACCGTCTGATCCAGCGTCCCTTTGCAGTTCAGGGCACGTGCATGGCCCAGACTCGTGTTGCACTGGTGTGACAACCCCAGACCAGTGGACCTTTTTCCTGAGGCAGCTCATGGTACAGGCAAAACCCAGACACAAGCTGCAGGGTCGACAGTTTGTGACCCACTTAATTCTGTAATTCTGTGTCTCCAGTCAGTTCAGGACACATACAGGAACCCGATGCAGGCTGGATGGCTAGCAGTCGCAGACTGCTCGTGCCTTAGACAAACCAGGGGGTCAGGGCAAAAGTAAAGCACCGACTGGAACCATGGGACCAACAGCTCTTGGAGCACTCGCTCACTAGGCACAGGACACGCGGGTGCAGGGAAGGGCTGCATGAGCCCATGCCAGCCGGAGAAGTCCCTGGGGCTTCTGAGTGAGGACCTCCTGTCTGCCTTGGGTGCAGGGCGGGCAGAGACTCAGTCTGTAATGGCGGCGGGTTCTGGGTCGCCTGCTCTGCCCCCAGGAAGTAGATGGGTAATACCTGGCTCTCTCTGTGAGTTTCAGCTGGGAACCATCGCACTGGAAGTAAAGCACAGAATCGAACTGCAGGACCAGCAGCTCTTGGAGCACTCACTCACTCACATGCAAGGAGGGGTGACTCGCGCTTCCCCAAGCTAGAGAAGTCCCTCCAAAACTTTCTTTTCAGTGATCTAAGATAAGCTAATAGTATAAATCAAAAGCAAATTAGCATATATATTAAAAAATTTTCAAACAATGCAATATGTAATTTGGGGAAGTCTTGGAAAGCAAAGGACTAGTCTACTGTTGCATTGATTACATTCTTGGGAGATGAGAGGACACAAGTGGTGGGGCCTGGCTGCAGGAGTGGGTCATGGGTGTGTGACAAGAGAGGGCATTTCTGTCCCTACGCCTTTCCTCTATGGCACCTGCCCGCTCCACTCTGTCTGCCTCCTCTTTGCTATGAGCTGAGCCATTTCCCACATGCCCTCTGCTATGATTCCAACTTCAGCATGGAACTAGAATCATGGAGCCAGCTGACCGTGGTCTGAAACTTTATAATCATGAGATAAAATAGCCTTCCCCCTTTCGGTTGTTTTTCTGAGGTATTTTGTCACAGTGACAGAAAGCTAAAGCAAGCAATAATTTAAAAAATGTACATTCATAGATGCATGCTATGTAGCTATTCTAAACTCCTTACATGTATTAAATCATTTAATAATTCAATTCACTCATCAACATTTACTGTACTTGCTTGTATCATCTCTGCTTATCTGAGATACATTGGGATGATTTTGTAAGCAGTATTGCAAAACAGAACTTTAAAAGTTAGGTGTTTTCCCTTTTGCTGAGCACATACCAATCCCCCTCCTCTCCTCAGCCCAGGTGATGTGAGGGAAGATGCAGGTGCTGGCCCTGGGAGACAGCAGTGCAGGTTCCTTTCCATGAGAGTGAGGTTCGGGAGCAGTGGATGCGTGGTGGCAATTAGGCAAACATGGAGATCTGAATTAGCTCTCTGTGCTCCCCTCCCCTCTGTTCCTTCCTATGCAGCACTCAGCAGTGCAAGGTGAGATGCTGGCTTGTGCCTTCATCTCGCTACAGCCAGTTTTGAATGAGTCCCTTTTTTTTTTAAGCCAAAATATATGGCCTTTTCTGATTTGTCAGCAGTGAGCAAATGAAGCTAAGCATATGAACCTGAGTGGCTGGTAACAATTTTGGAAATCTCTGCACAGTCTTTAAAGCACTTGGTCAGTGTGATGAGTGAAACTGTTAACTAGCTATACAGTAAATATTAATTTAGTCTTTATTTTATCATTTTTTAATGCTTGGGTTTATGGTTCCATCAGACAATCTAGACATATATACCTTTTTTGTTTTGTTACCAGACCAAAATACAGTTAAACATAGAGTGGGGAGAATTGGGCACATTTTTGCTTTTGCTTTTGTTCTTTTGATCTTCTATCTTTACATGTTTAGGCCAGCTTTAAAGCAAAACTTTACTTTTTCCTCACCTGTCTTGTACATTTGCCTTTTTATATGACTAAAATCTGCTCAAATTGAGTTATACATTTTCTATATCTTGATAGTATTTATTTTCAACTGTACAAAACTTTTTGTGCAATTTCCTCAATAGTCAAATGAATATTTTATGAAATTATTTTTCTCTTTGTCTTTTAAAGTTTATAGAGTAATTTCTCTCATCTGTGCTGCCATTCTAAATGCATGTTTAGGATGAGCACTTATCAGCATGGTTTCACTGCCTTCAGTCATTAGTGCTTTGTTGAGTAGGAAAACTTGCTACAGGATATATAAATTTCACATTGAACATCAAAATTTGGAGATTGTTGATTTGCAAGAATCAGTAGATCCTTCTTATTTACAAGAACTAAAGGCAAAACCAAGAGATACTTTCAATGCCTGTGGGTAAAATATTTAGCTGGTACTGAATTTTTAAAAACACTTTAATAGTATATTGATCAAACATTTTAATATATTTTCACATTTCTCTGTCTCCATCTTAAATTATCTTTTTTGGGGGGAATGACAACCATTTTAACAGAAAATACTAAATATATTGGTGACATTATAGCATTGAAATTAGACTAATATGTAGTTTTGAAATTAGACTAATATGTAGCTTGATTTATTTCTCTAAGCTCTGACTTAATTTCTATATATTTTTCAAATTTTCACTTAGCAATAAAAATAGTTTTTAACAGGACAGAAATTTGTGGTACTATAGGTATTTTAATTAGAAGAATATCATAGAGTGGAGTTGGATCTAGAAATAATTTTATTTTATATTATTATTTATTTATTTATTTATTTTTATACATGGTCTTCCTCAGCAACTCAGGCTGGCTTTGAGCTCACTTTGTAGCCCAGGCTGGTCTCGAACTTGCAACGATCCTCCTACCTCAGCCTCTCAAGTGCTGGGATTACAGGCATGTGCCACCATGCCTAGCTAGAAATAATTTTAAAGGTGCTTCGTTAAAGAAAGGTTCATAGATGGTTATAAACAAACATGCAACATCAGTAATTCAAAAATATTCAGTATTATAAAGTATTATAGAGCTTGAATGTATTTATCTTTAAAAATTTACATTTTCATGGTGCATCAAAAGAAGTTAACAAATGTTCATTAGTGTTTGCATTTCATGTTAAGTTTAGAGAAAAATTGAACAGAAACTAGTTTCCTTAGTATTGTACCGTACCCCTTTTCTCTGTTAATAACCTCCAGCCTCACTACTGATGAACTGGCATTGATTTTTTTGTTTGTTTGTTGTTGAGACAGGGTCTTGCTATGCAGTTCAGTGATGGAGACCACTAGGAAGCATGTGTGAGTAGGACTTAAATTAACCAATTAGCTTTCCATATTTACTTGTGAGTGACTGGTTCCTACTGAGGCCTGTAATGGTGGGTGAAGCCATGAGGCCTCAAAGGATGAAACAAGGCCACAGCTAAGGACTCCTGACTCCAACCTCAATTAACCAGATAAAGACTGTAGCTGTAGGCATGTTGTTCCTGGGTGGAGACCTTCCTGGAGATAATACAGTTCTCCTAAATTAACATAATGTCTTACTTGGAGAAGCTCTTGAGTGAAAGGCCTGCATTCACGGCAGAGTCCTGCTTTTCTTCAGTAGCCCCCACCTTGTTTTGATAACTAAGTAAGTACAGGAGCTCAGAGATGATCTTTATCTTAGCCCCAGAGAATCTTGAGTTCTGATAGAGGGTTTGGAACCTCCCAGAGCCCTAAAATCATTTCACTTGTCTCATT